TATCTCCAATCACTGTATCACTGTCATCCCATTGTTCATCAATTTGCTCGAGCGGGCACCAAAAACGTCTCCATTCATCCCAGCCCTGAGATTTTAACAGCCTCTGCTTACTCATCCTTCCCAATGGTGCCATATTAGAGGCTCTTTCAGGGTCAGGGGAATGAGATCCATTATTGTTACTCTTTTTGGCATATCGAATACGCCATGGGGATTATTAAATTTAAAAAGGCAGCATCGCTATTTTGGTGTGAATTTAACAAAGTCCAAAGTTGTGCAACTACTACTGGAAAATTTAAGTTTATTTGAAATATTTTATGATACTTTCTTTCTAATATCATTATTTTACTTAGAACACAAGACACACAAAAGAGCTTTCCTATTTCCTTTCTTGTTGGTTCATTTTTGTTTTGGGGTCACACCTGTTGCGCTCAGGGACTTACTCCTAGTTCTGTATTAGGGGATCACTCCTGGTAGTGCTCAGAAGACCATATGTGGTGCTAGGGATCGAATTTGGGTCAGCTGTGTGCAAAGCATGCACCTCACCCACTCGACTCTCTCTGGCTCCTCTCCTACTACTTAAGACAAATGTGCTTGACAACCAACAACAACCAGGATTGTTGGGTTGGGATCTGTGGGTGATGGTTCATCCAGGCGAGACATCCATTCAGATGCAAACAAGAGAGCAACTGGGATCCCAACTCACTGTTTATTTGCTGTTGGGACATGGAGTTATAGGGCAAGAGCATCCTTGTTTACCTATGCTTCAATGAAGCTACAGTCTTCCTGGGACATAGTTATCAACCAGCTGGACGACAGGTGTGGTATGGAGCCCTGACACATGCCTGCCACACTGAGGCGTTGAGAGGCATTACTCACACTGGAGAAAATGGACCAGGATCCTATACATGTATTTTATTCTTCCTCCCAGGAGGAAAGGGACAAAGAGCAGTGATGCTGTCCTCTGCCCCAAATGTGAAGGTACGGGGTAAAAATTTACCTACGAGACAACCATAACTCATTCTCTCTCATTTTCACCTCGAACTAAAGAGACTAAATGGTGCCAGAGAAAATGCGTGGGTTACAAATCAAACCAGAAAAATTGAGATTATACAGCTCTGGGCAAGGGGTTCTCCACACCTGACCCTCAATCTTTCATCAACCAGATGAGGACACAAAACATCTGTTTGGCAGAGTTGTGATTAAATTTAAAGGTGTTTTGTTTCTATCTGTCTGTCATTATTTGGGGAGAGGTTTGGGCCAAATGAAGTATTACTTAAAAGGGCTACACCTGGACCTGTGCTTGGGGGTTGCTCCCAGTGGTGCTGGGAGACCACCCAGTGCCAGGACTTGGACCCAGTGCCAAGGTCACCCACGGCCAGGACTGGGACCTGCTCCTCCTACATAGACGAGGCAGTCTATTGAGTCTGTTGAGCTCGGTTTATTGAGCTCTCCTTCCCTATATTAAATTTATACACATATAAAAATTAGTGAATCTACAATATCCACAAATCTTGTATGCCCTGGACATTTCCATTGTTAGTGAGAAATGATCCCTAACTGAATGAACACTTACAATGAATATTTCGAGGCTGCCACATGGTGCTCCTTTGGATATCATGCTGGTATAGACACTGAGAACACTGCACTTCATCTGATAACACTTGAGTGGTGAATAAATGGATATAAAACACATTTTTGGATTTCTGGGGTGGCCCTTCCTTCTTAACAAATGAAAGTCACGGCCGAAGAGCCGATTCAGTGGGTGAGAGCACATGATCTGGTGGGCCCGGCTTCAACCTGTGCATTGCCAGGAGGGCCTCCTCACCTCTATTCTTGACCCCCAAAACAAATAATGGTGTTAGTAATAACAGCCCTGTAGCACTGTCGCACCGTCCTTCCGTTGCTCATTGATTTGCTCGAGTGGGCCCAGTAATGTCTCCATTGTGAGACTTGTTGTTACTGTATTTGGCATATCTAATATGTCATGGGTAGCTTGTCAAGCTTTGCAGTGCGGACGGGATACTCTTGGTAGCATGCTGGGCTCTCCAAGAGGGGTGGAGGAATCAAACTTGGGTCAGCCAGGTTGTCCGCGTGCAAGGCAAATGCCCTACCCACTGTGCTATCGTTCCAGACCTTAGTAATAATAATATGGAAAAAAAATTAACGTTGAATTTCTTTCCAAACTCTAGGGTCATATCTAAACAAAATAAGCAAACTCTAGACTACTTCAAATCATGGTGGATATGATCAAGACAAATCACTCTGAAGAGTCTAAATCTTTTCACTTGAGAACTGGAGTTCTTGAATGATAGAGAATTGGGAGCTATGCCACATGCACCATGACTGGTACACATGTGAGGAAGGGTATGCTTTATTTTTGCTTCATTTTGTTTTTGTTTGGGGGTCATATCTGGTGGTAGTCAGGGCTTACTTCTGGCTTTGTTCTCAGGGACCACTCCTAGCTCAAACCCAGGTTGGTTATGTGCAAAGCAAGTGTGCGACCCACTGTGCTATTGCTCTGGCCCCGAGAATTAGGATTTTAACAGGACTTCTCTTTAAGAAAAGCTCTTCTTTGAGAGTGCAATCCTTTTGCTTCTCTCTGTCCGGCAGCACAGGCTGAGGACCCTCAATCACGTGGGCGCCTGAATTCATAGGGGAGACTTAGTACCCTGGCCCCTGTCTTTCATGTGTCAGAGAAGCTCTCTCCAGCATTACTAAAGTGAATTTTCCTGGCAAAAGGTTTAAAACAAAAGAAAATGATCACTATGAAGCACTAGTATGAAATGATCACTCTGGACAAAAACTGAGTGTTGAATCTAGGGAAAGGGATATATGTGATAACGTTTCAGTATCTGTATTGCAAAGCATAATGCTCAAAATTAGAGAGAGAGAGAGAGACAGAAAGACATAGATAGAGAGAGAGACAGAGAGAGACAGAGACAGAGAGAGGGGTTGGGGGAGAGAGGGAGAAGGAGAGAGGAGAGGGGGAGAAGAAAAAAGTAGAAGAAAGGTACCTGCCGTAGAGACAGGCTGGTGGAGGGAAAGTGGGGACATTGGTCATGGGAAATGTACACTGGAGAAAGGATGGGTGTTGAAACATTATATGACTGAAACTCAATCATGGACAACTTTGTAACTGTGTATTTCACTGAGGTTCAACTTAAGAAAATGGAAAAATAGAAATAAAGGAGCTCTCTTAACACTTCTTGAAAAAAAAAAAACAGAAAAGTAGTCCCTATATAAAGACCTGGGGAGAAAAGCGTTGCCTGCAACAAGGTAAGTGCTGAGTTGACCTTTTGGAAGAGAGCGGGTAAGCACTGATGCTCAGGGTGGGGCCATTCCATCAAACTTCCACAGGCTGAACTAGACTGGGAAGAATAGCGCCCGCCCAGTCAGGTCAGGAGGCAAAGGGGACATATGTGGTGACCGACTGGCTCTTTCGAGCTTTCCAGTAGGGCAGAAGGGCAATCTCATATTCTACCAGGGAACAGGAGCCACGCAGCAAGGCAGGACTGCTCTACCTTTGCCAGAAAGGTCAGAGATGCGAGTGCCCTGCTCTTCCGAGAGCACCTGTGGATGGCCAGCGTGCTCACCTGGTCTGAGCTGGAGAGGGAGGGTGAGGAGGAAGCCGGAAGCAAGGTCCAGGGGAGGCTCTGCAGCCAAATCTCACCCAGAGCCAGCAGTGCCGCTGCAGCAACCAGAGCACAGACCCCAGCACTCTGTTCCCTCCCAGACTCTGTACCAGGGAGATGGGAGGAAGCAGCTGTTAGTCACGTGCAGTTCTGGGACCCAATGGAAGGCTGTTGCTGGGGCTAGAATGTTCGCCTCACACCACAGTGACCCTCCAGAGAGAGGAGGAGGAGCAGGGTTGCTTGTTACCAATAGCAACTTGAGGTCTCTCCTTGCTGTGACTTGGCTATGGTTTCCTTTTCTGTCTCTGGGTGCAAGAAGTCTGCCTCTGGTTCCACCAGGATTGTCTGTCATTCCTGGTGACAGAGGACAGACTCTTCTCCTACAATCCGGCTCAGTCAAAGGCATGATCACAAAGTGGGATGTAAAGGGGACAAATCTTTCTTGTGCCTTCATGTTCTAGAGGTTCAGAATATATTTCTAGGAAAGAATAGGTCACAGGCACTGCAGGGGCTGGGCTCAGTGTGAGGAGAAGCAGAATTCCAGAATGCATTAGGAAGAGACATCGGAGCCTCAGAGAAGGAGAAAGCAATGGGGTTTGTTATGACGAGAAAAAAAGACCCTGATAACAACACGCACAAAAAGGCCGAGCTAGGGCCACGTCTCAATGAATTAGTAGCACAACGGTTCCACATTTTCAATTATACTTGCTGATACAATGTGTGCTACACTCTGATATCACTATCCTAAAAGTCACTAGTCAGTCATTTAAAAAAAATATGTGAATAAGTTGATTGTCACTATCCCAGATATTGTACAAGTGTAACTGCCATAAAGAAAAAAGCAACAATAAAGACAATCATTACCAATGATCATGCATTGTGCAGTGAAGTCATCCTATGTACTACCACTAGAGGTGTGTATGTGCATGTGTGCATGCATGCATGTGTGTGTGTGTGTGTGTGTGTGTGTGTGTGTTTATACCTCAGGAATTTACTGTCTTAAAGAATAAAATAAAAATTAGCCAGTCTAATGGACTGACACTCTAACTATCACCTTCACTTACAAGATCTTCTGCACTAACAAGAAAAATACTATTTGGGCGATAAATTAAAGACCTTCCATGTGATCACTTGGATTTCACTACCCATGTGGGCTAATAACTCCTTACCATAAAAGTGTGAAGATAAAGACTTGCTGGGTTAATAGCCACTCAAATGTACTTTTAGCATATGGAAAATCACTTGACAAATCTTAGCATGTCTTAGTTTAATCTTGCCAGCAGAGTCTAAGGATTTGAGTACTTACAAAACAGAATCGCAGAAAACTTATTGCCCTTTGATCTATAAGGCATGGAAAGCCAAACTCACCACTTCTTTGATTTCAGCCGAGGTGCTGGGTTCCGAGGGATAAGGAAGAGGGCGCGCATGGGATGCATGTCACAGAGAGCTGCAGAGCAAAACAAGGACCAACTCTGTTAGGAAGTCTAACCTCGGCCAAGTCCATCCTTGCTAATGCTGCCAAGTGGCCCTCAAGTCCACTCATGACCAGCGAGAACAGCATTAAGTATCAGGAGATCACAAAGCTGCCTTTTGGCAAGCACGTCAAAGAGCTGGGGTCAAATTATGAGAGAATTGAGAAAATACAGCACATCTCGAACAGAAAAAATTGACCTTTTTACCTTCCCTTTATCCTTACTGAAAATAAGTTAAAGGACCTACAACATTGTTTCGTTGTAGATACCATCTGAGGATCCAAATAATAGTAGACTGTTTTTAATTAGTAAAAGACTCAGTCATAAAACAAAAGATGTTTGATAATTCACAGTCTATTATTTACACATTGAAGATCAATCAATATACCGCTAATATAATTGCACTGATGTTGGAAAATTAAAGCACGAAGCAGAACACATTCCCTCTAGATTTCAAAATATCCTGAGACTGGCTGTTTAGATTTCATGACAAACTTTTCTTAGGTTTTTATTTTGTTTCATTCACTTGGCCCAGGAAGACCAGAGGATTAAGACAGAGGGAGTCTGACAAGAGATTTTCAAAAATATTTTCAGAAATATTTCAACTTGTTAACATGCTGTTTATTCTGAAAGCACTCATGTATTCATATTTTAATCAGAATATTTGACCAGTTGACTTTTCAAATATCTGGGAGTGTCTTTTTCTGGAATAAGAACATTTAGCTCCCTGAAAGCTAAAGTCTTCTGTGGGTAGCAGTTTTTATTTATTTATTTATTTTTATTTTTTATTTTTTTTGCTTTTGGGTCACACCCAGCGATGCACAGGGGCTACTCCTGGCTCATACACTCAGGAATTACTCCTGGTGGTGCTCAGGGAACCATATGGGATGCTGGGAATCGAACCCGGGTCAGCTGCATGCAAGGCAAAAGCCCTACCCACTGTGCTATTGCTCCAGCCCCCAGCAGTTTGTTTTTAGTCTCACCTATCACTCATCAAGTCTGGTCATCAAGAGAGCAATACTCTATTTTTCTGATTCACAAACTTAATAACATTGTGGATGAAAGGTATTATCTCCATAAACATTCCCAATCAATCTCCAGATGATTTTTTTCATAAATCAATGACTTCTACAGAGGAATTCTGCCATCTCTAGAGTAAGAAAAAAAGCTGCAATACGCTGAAGGTAAAAAAGTAATGAAATAAGGACCTGTCATGCAACTAAGCAGCATAAGCATGAGGCCTCTGAGAAGCTGTCACCAAAGTGGTATCAAACATGAGTAGATCACTGTGGGAAACTTTTGCAGGAAATGGGACGGAGTCAGGAAAGGGAGGGATTCGCATCAGATTGCTTTGCAAATCGAACTCTGAGTGAAGGAGCAAGGAAGGTAGAAGTGACTGCAAGACTGCTCACCTAGCTCATGGTCTACGCTGGCTTCACCCAGCTAAGGGGATTGCCTGAATGAAAGTTGCCTACAAAGTCATCCTGTGTCTCCTGAAAGAATCTGCCTTCTTTTCCTGCCACGAGAGGCTGTTGGGAGCACAACCTTTGGGCCACTGCAGTCTTGACTAACTGAGCCTCCTGTGTAATGTGGCAGGCACATTCTCCTATTTGGTAGAGACCCTCACAATGCCAATACTTCAGGACACCTGGAATTTCAGAGGGTCTCCAGGACAGCAAGGAAATGAAAAAGTCCCAAATCCATATTTTCTTGTTTCATTTTGTTTTGTTTTGGGCCACACCTGGCAGCGCTCAGGACTTACTCTTTGTTCTACCTTCAGATATCATTCCTGGCTGGGCTCAGAGGACCATATGTGATGCCGAGGACTTAACTTGGGTAGGCCACATGCAAGGCAAGTGCTGTGCTGTCGCCCTGGCCCTCTAAATCAACATTTTATGAGGAGGAAAAGCTATGATGTGCACAAGTGTTGCGCAGACAACTGGCTCCTCATTCTTGTTAAAGGTTTACAGTCTTACTAGGTTTGTTCTAGGTCTCTGTTAGATGAAGAGGAGTCTGGGAATAAAGGAGCATCCTACTTCATCAAGCAAACCAGGCTCCCAAACGTTTGCTGCCATTTTGTTTTCTTCAGAAAAATAAGATTGTCCTGCTACTCTGAAATGAATACATTCCTGGGTGACTGAATAGGCCTCTGCTTTCTAAATATGCCAAATTGAACCTGGCAAGGGCTCAGCAGAGCAGAAGAAAAACAAGTGCAGCTCCTGGCAAGGACCTCCCAGTCCCCCGGAGCCGAGCAAGCCACCAAGTCAGTGGAGGCGGGTACTTACGGGGAGCACCTTCTGCCATCTCGATGGCGGTGATTCCCAAAGACCACAGGTCACTCTGAAAGAGAAGAAAGGCGCAAACCCATGTGTCAGTGCAGGCCACAAAGGGTCACCGGGTTCGGAGAAGGCACTTGCCTCAGAGCTTCCTGTGGAAAAACCACTCGCACCTCCGCACTGGTGTTACTGCCTGAGCCTCCAAGCAGAAACAGCCTCGTTCACTTGTCACTGACAAAACTTTTTGTCACACACATGGAGTTTCCAATAAATGAAGCGTGAGTATAAAGTTAATGGAGAATTCGCTAAAATTTATCATAGAATTATGTGATATGACTATTAAAATATTTTAACACTCTCACTGAGGCATAATTCCCATGCATTTTCATAAATCTTGTTTTAAGTGTACCATTTAATAAGTATTGGTGTGTTTACATCCACGAAATTTTGACCACAATCAAAACCATAAACATGTCATCACCTCCACAAGGATCATTTATTTCTCATTAGTCTGCACTCCTGCCAGAGCTGTCACGAATCCCAGTTCTATTCCACAGCAACCAATGATTTACCTTTCTCACTGTGAACATGTTTGCACATTATAAAGTTTTAGATAAATGAAATATCCATGTTTTTTCATTTAGCATAATGTGTTTGGAAGATGGAGGATCTGGGTGGAGGATGCTCAGCCGTAATCCGAGCAGGCTTGGAGATCTCAGCCCCCGGATTTGCATGCCTCTGTTCCCATCAACGGCCAAGAGGGGCCCCTTGGAGGGGGGCGGGTTGAGTTTCCCTCCCCACCCCGAGCAGAGCTCTGGCAGCCGAAGACCTCTAGAACCAGCCACAACCACGTTGAGACCACTCTCCACACGCATGAAGGTACTGGGGTACCGGCAGAGGAACAAAGGCATGCATATCCTCCATCTTCCAGTAGGCAGGGGTCACACCCACAAACTCCCCCCACCCCCACACCCCGCGCTGTGTAATCCCATCAATGGCTAAGACCCAGAGACTATAAAACCCAGCTCCCAGAAGCAGACATCTTATTATCTCATTCTTACTTTGGACAACCTGGCAGGCTACCGAATGTAACCTGTTCACACGGCAGAGTCTGGCAAACTCCCCGTGGCGTACCCAATATGCCAAATACCAGTAACAATGATGGGTCTCATTCTCCTAACCCCGGAAGAGCCTAAAATATGGCACTTTTTAGAATCTCAGGGCTAGGACGGAGGAGATGTTACTGGGGCCTCCTCGAGGTAATCGACGAACAACATGATCATCGTGATCATCGTGATCCTGATTGTGAATGTGTTTAAGATTCATCCACACTACATGCAATGATCTATTTTTGTTTGTTTGTTTGTTTTGGGTCACACCCGGCAATGCTCAGAGCTTACTCCTGGCTCTGCACTCAGGAATTACTCCTGGCAGTGCTGGGAGACAATATGGGATGCCAAGGATTGAACCCGGGTCGGCTGCATGCAAGGCAGGCCCTACCTGCTGTAGTATGGCTCTGGTCCCCTCAATGATCTAATGTATAGATATATCATACACATAAACTGTTTACTCATTCACTTGTTGATAGGCATTTAGATTCTTTCAAGTGTAGGTTATAATCAAACTGCTACAAAAATCCCCATGCAAGTCCCATGTGTTTTTATTTCTTCCTAGGTATTTCAAATCAAATACCTAGGAGTAGAATGGCTGAATTACATAAAAGATTAACATTTATAAATATAAACCATTGTTATTAATTAAACAATCAACAATTTCATGTGGTTTAACCTAAGCAGTGGAGAAAGGTCAGGGGATCTTTTTATTAGTATCATTCACTGATCTATGTTGAAATGTTCTCTCAAATCAACCCTCTCATGTCCCTTGAGTGGTAGCCAGATCTGTTCAGTATTTAAAAGGAGGCTAAATAAAGTGTCCTGGCACCTTAGTATCTTCCTTAAAGTGAAAGATAAGTGTGACACTGAAATCTACCCTTGTAAATTGACCAGGATAGAAGTGTAGTTCATTGGTTGAAGTCACTGTCACTGTCACTGTCCTCCCATTGTTCATCGATTTGTTCTAGCTGGCCCAGTAACGTCTCCATTTTGACAATTGTTACTGTGTTTGGCATATCGAATAGCTTGCCAGGCTTTGCCGTGCGGGCGAGATACTCTGGGTAGCTTGTGGGCTCCTGAGAGGGGCGGAGGAATGGAACCTGGCTCAGCTGGGCGGCTGTGTGCAAGGAAAACGCCCTACCACTGTGCTATCACTCCAGCCCATTTCCTTAAAGTGAAATCTACCTTATATCCAGGGCTTTGAAACATGCTAATTACACTGGGGACTTTCAGCCTATTCTTTAAGAGATGGACCCATCAATGTATTTTTATTAATTTTATAAACTCTTTATTCTCTTGATTCAACTAGGGATAACAATGCATCTGTAAAATACCCCATCCTCATATTCCAGACAGAAAACAATTCAAGAAGTAATTTATCTTTTTTTCACTGTTAGAATTGAAATTGTATTTTTTTTTTTGGCTTTTTGGGTCACATCCAGCGATGCACAAGGGTTAATTACTCCTGGCTCTGCACTCAGGAATTATTCCTGGCAGTGCTCAGGGGACCGTATGGGATGCTGGAGATGGAACCCGGGTCAGAAAAGCACATGGCAAACTGCTGTTGTACTAACGCTCTAGCCCAAGATGTATTCAAAGTAGTATTAATTACACACACACACACACACACACACACACACACACACACACACACACTCCACTCGGTTCGTCTAGCTCAGTAAGTAACTGAGTCTTTCGGCAGGCTTTGTCTTGCTTAGTGAGGTTCCTGCTATGGTTCATGGTGAAGACACAGATCATCTATTATAGGCTGACTCAGGAGCAGTTACTGGTAAAGATGGAAATATAGTTCTCTGTACCTGGGGCTTTATGGTTAATTGACACAAACAATCATCTGAGAACATGACGAAAATACTGAGTCACTGTTCAGGAAGCATTACACAGGAAACACAGCTAGGAGAATCTGAAAATGGTGGATTGTGCTATTTTAATAAAACATTTGAACTATATCCAGACCTTGATAATTCTGTCACTATGTCCCCAACATCCCTGAGAATCAAGCGTTTGTGTAGTTTAAAATAAAGAAGATATATAAATGTGGTGGTCAGGCTCTGACTCCCTAATTATCAACCTCCAGAGTCACATTTAGATTAATTCAAGTCTAGAAAGCTTGAGCAGATTTGAAAGACTTTTTGTTGTTTTTTTAATAAAGGGGTAAGAAGGTCCCAGGTCAGTCTTCAAATGGGAGAAGAAAATGCTCAGGAATCCCAGCAAATGTCGACTTTGGGATTTTGCTCTGACTCTTCCTCTGTGGCTGGCTTTTCGACCAGGGGCGCAGTCCAGGTCATCCTGTACATTGGAACCTCGGCTGCTCCCCAGCACCACCAGACCCGCCTCCCCTTCCTGCCTCTCTCCCCTAAAGAAACCAGTGACCTTCTCACACATCATCACCAACTTAATAGGCTTTATGTTTTCTTTCCCTGCGACATCACCTCAAACACGTGAAACAAATACATGGGATCCACCAGGGCAGGGAACTCTGTTTATTGAAATGTGTATGTTGAGGTCCTAGAGCTGGGGATGGAGATCGGCTGGAGCACATGAGCTTCACGCGTATGAGGCTCTGGGGTTTGATCCGTGGCACATGCATGTACCAAAATCCAAAGTAAGGCAAAAACTAAAAAATCCACACCAAGACAGAACTAAACAAAAAAAATCCCCCAAATCTAGATAAGTGCCCAGTTCACAACAGATGGCTGATAAATGTTCTTGAATGAATAAGCAGAAAGAAAGATGCATGAGACAAAGGAACAGACATCAAGTCCCAGGGCTTTTGGACTTCTAGTAGTCCCTGGGGTGACTTAAAGGAAACTGACTTATTTTGGATCACAGAGAAACTCAGCACTAGGTTTTGGAAAGAGCTGAGTTTTGTGACGCCCAGGTCAGTTTTCCTTTTTAACTGTCATCACACTGTAAGGACCTGAATATTTACCTTTGCTTATTTAAAAAAAATTCATCAGGTTTATAAAATATTGATTCTGATTTATATTTTTCTACAGGTAACTAAAAATATCAATTCAATAAAAGTGCTACCACTTAGTCAGGCACCTTCGAAACTGATGCTTGGAAACTAGTCTGGTCTCAACTTCCTCAAGTAATCTTGTATCAATAAATAACAATACTAGGAAAATTAGTCTTCTAAATCAGACAGATCTGGATTCAAATCTGATCTCAAATTCAGCTACACATCAAATTCTGCTGAAAGCTTAGTTTTCTGAACTACACAGCGGAGGTAACTGTGATATTAAAGTCTGCAGGCGTGCTGCTTCTCACAAAATCTGGCACACAGTGTGAGCAAGAATACTAACTTCCTTCTTTTCTACTGTGAGATAAGACTAGCTTTGTCTATGTAGTTTAGTCTTCTATGGCTTTTATTTTATTGTGATACAATCAAGCAAATACAATAGTTTGTTTGCCGATCCAATAGGCATCTTTTACATCACTATTTTCCTTTATCACCTCTATTTGAGAATACAGGAGAACCATGCATATTTCAACTCCTTTGCAGGTAAAACCAGAAGTGAAGAAAGTCATAGCTCTATCTGGAAAAAACCTGAGTACCCAAGAAGAGATGACTGGTTAAAGAAGCTTGGTACATCTACACAATGGAATACTATGTAGCTGTCAGAAAGGATGAAGTCATGAAATTTACATACAAGTGGTACTACATGGAAAGTATCATGCTTTAAGTGAAATGAGTCAGAAAGAGAGGGATATACATAGAAAGACTGCATTCATCTGGGGAACATAAAGTAACAAAATAGGAGACTAACACCCAAAAATAGCCGAGATAAGTATCAGGAGTTTCACTCCATGGCTTGGAGGCCAGCCGCACATGCTAGGGGAAAAGGCAGCTCAGATAGAGAAGGGCACCAAATAAAGGGTGTTTGGAGGATCCTCCCAGGATGGGAGATGCATGTTGAAAGTAGACTAT